AGAAATCCAACATGAAAACAGCTGGTATGTTTAGTTGTCTATGCTAACAGCATCACAGAACATGAACCATGTGCATTGATTTAGACATAAGGAAAATATTTTAATGCAAGTTTTATTTTAAAACCATAATACTGATAGACCAACAAACTGAAGTTAAATTGCTACTAAATGTACTTTGGCCCGATAGCTATTATAGGGTACCTGTCCTTATCTTTCCAGTCACCTAACACCTGCTGTAATATTACTATTGACTACTGCCCTCAAGTAGTAGTTTCATTTGATCACAGTACCATTATCTCAAAGAAAAATGGGAGCATTGTGATTAGAGTATAGGACTGGGAGTCAACACCTGAATCCTAATCCTGGCTGTGCCACCAGCTTCCTGCATTATCTTGGGCAAGTTACTTTACATCTCTGCCCCATCTGTAAAATGGGGATACCAATACTCCCTTTCTTCACAGGGCTGGTGTGAGGCTTAACCTGTTAGTGTTTGTAAAGAATTTTGATACCTTAAGATGGAAGGCATTAATTACATCAGCCTGAAGCAGCTGGTATATTGAGGCCAGGGCTAATCCTGACCTGTACTGCCTCATTGTTTACTTGTGCTCCCCCTTTAGCCATCTGATGTCTCTTCTCTTACACTGCTTGCAAGCACTTTAAGGCAGGGACTTTTTGTTCCGTTTCTACAGCACCCAGGCACCATGGGATACGGGGCTACGACTGGAGCTCCTAGGTGCTACTGCAATTCCAATGCTTTACTACAGCTGTATTCATCATCTTCCAAAGTAAGTGCTGTAGTAGTGCTGAAAGTCTAAGGAAAGAATAGGGGAGGGAGAACAGTGATAAAAGTATGTTCTAAGCTAGCTGTGTGCAAGTTGATAATTCCAAGGTATGTGTAAAAATACACAACAGTTAATAAGCCAGCTAATTCCACTGCTTCTGCTCTCAGGTTAACTTGTGCTTCAAACAAGCACAGCTACTAGAGTTATTTTGAGGCAGTCAGTCTAGTAAGCCTGGTTTCACCCCCTGCCCAGTACTTTCCCCACGAAGTTTAATGAATAACTCCTTTGCCTCTGGCAATACCCAGTGTAACAATACATCTTTTTGTCTAATGATGGGGGTGGGAAGAGCTTTGCATTATCATTTGGAGCATTTTTACAAGGGTGTCAATTCTACAGATAAGTAGAATGGATCTTTCTACCACTGGTCAGAAGAGAATGCAATATTACATTTGACAGTGAAAAAATTCACACAAAGACTAGCCAGCCTTTAGCATTACATGTTTTTCTTTAAAATTGGTACTTCAGGACAGGATACTAATTTCATGGTATATAAGAAAAGCAGTCATCCCACAGCTCATTGAAGGAGGAGAGGAGTTCTACTGCCATCATATGAGGCTCACATTTTAACAGCTTCTAGGTTACAGCATAGCCTAATGGTTCCTGTTTCTATTCAGAGATCCGAGGGTCACACTGATGCATGTTTTTCCAATGGCAAACATGTTGCTTGGGACATTCTGAATGAGCCATCTGTGATAGAAGATGAAGCTAAATATCAATTTCTGATAAACAAATGAAAGTGCAGTACAAGGTCCATTTATTCCCTCATTTCCCCATTATGTGTGAGACCTGATCATACTCTAGGGTGACCAGACAGCAAGTGTGAAAAATCAGGACAGAGGGTTGGGGATAATAGGAGCCTATATAAGAAAAAGACCCAAAAATCGGGACTGTCCCTATAAAATCGGGACATCTGGTCACCCTATCATACTCAAACAGCTCCCATTACGTACTTGCTGATAGATAATGCTAAAGGTTCTACATCTAAAGAACCAACTATATTAGAGGATTCAACAAGTCCAAGGTTAAGCACTGCAGTTAAGTAGACCTAATGAAGTAAGTTATTTCAAGAAATGTTACCACATTCAAATAATTTATTCGACAATCAATTTTTTAACCATCAATACAGCAGAGTGTTTTTGAGGGCCACTCATTCCATCCTAGCCGGTCTCCTTTAAGTGAGCCAGTGCAGCATGTGCACAAAATGGTCCCGCCAACTGTTGAAGTACTTGTGCATTGTGGTATATCCCATAATTTTATCACAGCTCCCTGGAGTAGCAGCATGCATTTGTTAGTCCTTGATCTATTGAACTGAAGGATTTTTGTAGTGTCCAAAGCCCTGAATGCTCATTAATATTAAGCAGGTACAATATAACCACTCTAAATATATGCAATACTATATTATCACCTACATATTTGGCCTGTTCCAGTGGCGCCTTCCATTGGTTGTCCTGACCACAAAATTACACAGGACTTTGAGGGCCAGGAGTTATTCCCTTGAGAGAGCTAGGTTTAAGCTCACTACAGTTACTCTAGCCACTGCCTTTGGACAAGGATGCTCCAGGTGGGTCAGGTGCTTGCTGTTAAAATAGAAATTAGAAACATAAAAATGTATTTGGTAATGTTGTGAATTTTGTGCAATAGAGCTGGTTGAACAAATATTTTCCCTGCAAAAATTAGTTCTGTTTTCTTCTAAGTTGGTCTCCAGCATTTTGGGGGTTTTGGTAACTGAAGAGTAAAGGGGAAAATGTTCAATTTTGATGTTTCTGATTAAAGTAAAACATTTCTACCAAAAAAGTAGTTTGCAAAAATTTCCACGTCTGCCAAAAGCTATTTTCTGTCAAAGACGTTCAGAAAGTTTTCCGCAGCTCCAATGTGCAATAACTTTAAAAGTTTGTCATAATCACAACATATTTGTTTCCTTCTCTTTGTATCTCCCTCCAAGATCCAAAAACCAGAGTAGTCTGTACACACTGACCTGCACATGGAACATGCTTCCAGACAAGTCCATGACTCTTAACTAGTTCCGCCATTCTCCTGTGTCCCCCGCACCTGCCCATTTATACAGTATCCTCCTCCCTCCCCTGGATGCATCAGTGAGGAGGTGGGAAGAGGCACCAGTGGTTGTTTGAGTGCCATGAAGAAGCAGGGGTCACATTACTGGTTTTTTTGCTAGTGTCCCTTTTTCAGGTCTCAGTAGTCTGGAACACATGCCTTACATGGATCATGTTAAAACTTTCTCTGCTAGACTGAAAAGCTAGTTATCAAATATTCATTCCCCACATAAATACTTCTAGACTAATCAAGTCACCCCTTAAACTTCTCTTTGTTAAGCTAAAAAAATTGAGCTCCATGAGTCTTAACGCTAAGGCAGGTTTCTAATCCTTTAAACATTCTTCATGGCTTTTCTCTGAACCCTCTCCAGTTTATCAGCAGCCTTCTTGAACTATGAGCACCAGAACTGGACACACTATTTCACCAGCAGTTGCACCACTGCCAAATAAGGAGGTAAAAACTTCTACTCAAGATTCCCATTTATGCATCCCCAGGTTTGCATTAACTTCTTTTTGGCCACAGCATCATACTGGCAGCTCATGTTCAATTGATTATTCCCCATGACCACCAAATCTTTTTCACAGAGTTACTACTTTCCAGGGCAGAGTCCCTCATTATTTAAGTGTGGCCTACATTCATTGCTCCTAGATGTGTACATTTACTTTGAGCCATACTGAAATAATATTGTATTGTTTGCTTGCACCCAGTTTAATCAAGCTATTCAGATTGCTCTGGGGTGACCTGTCCTCTTATTTGCCACTCCCCCCCATTTTTGGGTCATCTGCAAGCTTTATCAGTGAAGATTTTCTTCCAGGTGATTGATAAAAGTGTTAAATAGCATAGGGTCAAGAACTGTTCCCTACAGGCCCCCACTAGAAACATACATTTTGAAACCTATAAACAAGGAATCATAATTGAATGGGTTAGCCATTTTAAATCCATTTAAACGTATGCCACATTTATATCATTCTAGCTTTTTAGTCAAAATGTCATGCAGTACCAATCAAACGCCTTACAGAAGCCTAAGTATATTATGTCAAGACTATTACCTTTTTCAACCAAACTTGTAATCTCATAAAAAAAGTCATTTTGACAGAATCTATTTTCCATAAACCCATGTTGATTTGCATTAATCACATTACCCTCCTCTAATTCTTTATCAACCAAGTCCCATATCAGCTACTCCATTAACTTGCCCCGTTGTCTGTGTCAAGTTGGTAAACTCGGTGAGGCTGAATCCAAGCCCATATGTTCTGTTCAGCACCAGACAGGGTCTGCAATTACACTTCTTTACAACTCAGCTGGTGAACTGATCACTGGACAAGTTTCACTTGATAAATTGCTGCTGTTTCTAGTTTACACAGAAGCAGCCAACTCATTTTTAAGCTATTCACAGATCCTGTTCAAGAACAGCCAAAGAAAATTTTTACACTAAAAATTTAAATACTCTGAGCCACCCCAGGATCTGGTATTCTGAGTAGAATGTTCCAGTGCGGACTTAGTGTACACAGCTGACACAGCAGCCATCTCAGCTATCCCCATATACAGGAGCAGCAGAAGCTCTCTAAAAGGGGGGGGGGGCATGAGCACCCGAACCATGGCCCTGCCCTCCCACACTGTTTGTGTCCGTCCGTCTCCCCCCCCCGAAGCCCCGCCCCTGCACTCCCTCTTCTCATTTGGCAAAGTGGGGGGGGGCATGCCCCCCCATTCCAGTCCCCTGCCCATATATTGAGGGCACCATTTTAGACCTAGATGTACCTCCATCCCATAAAATCTACTAATCTGTTTCCACCATTGCACATATATTATACACCACAATAAGCTGAAGAGGCCGAACTTAGGAAGTTGAAGAATTGGAACTCTTAGGTAATGTTTTTCATGCAAAAGAAATTACTATCATTGTTAAACCCTCTTGCATTGTCTGTGTGTAACTCTCCCCCACACTCCCATTTTTGGGTCTTTGACCTCTATTTTCTCCCACAACGGTCTTTTGGCAGTTTGAAAGATATGCTTTAGCCTTAGTTAAAAGTGGCTATTGCTATAATACAAGCCATTCCAAATTAAGCTACTCTAGCAACTTTTACAAGGATCCACATATATGCTTACCATTGGCAGCTTGCATCCAGGAATGCTGGGGAAATCATGGTGCTCCATGTGGTAGCCTGCATTAAAGGTGATCCAGTTGAGAGGTCCATAATAAGAATAGGTTTCGTAGCCTTTTAAGAACATGTAATGTTCTGCTATGAAGTGCCCGGCAATAGGATGCAAACCCATGCAAAGTAATGTGCCTGCTATTAAATAAATAACAGGCTTCAGGCCCCATAAGTAGTAGATTATAAAATCAATAGAGAATTGTACCAGGGCATTAAATATTTCCATCTGAGTAACTGCTTTGGGGTTCACGTAAAGAGGTCTCAGGCTATAGAAGAATGGTTGGAGGATGAGCCAAATAAATTTCCGAAATGGAGTGCAAAAGAACCAGCCTTCGAAGTCAGTTGGAACATCCACATCCAAAGTGTCTCCACCAAGGTATCGATGATGGTCGATGTGGTATTTCTTGAAGGAGGCGGAGTAAGGAAGTCCAAATGGCAGGTTGGCAAAGACTGCAAACCATCTATTCCACTTAGCCTGCTTGTTACCAAAGGCAACATTGTGTGAAATATCATGGATCGCTAGTGCCATTGAGTGATTGATGCAGCCCCCAAAAGCATAAGCCCAGAAGAAAATCCATTTCCAAGATAAAGCTTTCACCAAGTAGCAGGCTAGAAGCTGTGTCAACACCATTCCAGACACAATCCATTTTAAGTGGGGATCTGGTCCCATTAAAGATTTAATTGTTGGATATTTGGCTGAAGGGGGAGAAAAAGAACAAACAAAACAACTCATTAAGTATCAGGAAAGTAAGCATGGTCACCACATGGCATTCCTCTCCAATTTCTTCCATTAAAAGTTTATGCACAGGGGCCTAGTCATTCAGAAAGTAATGCACAGGTACAGAATTACTTCCATGCGGTGTGCATTGAAACTACTCTTTCAGTAGGGTTAAACACTGTTACCCTGCACCAAGCCTCTCTTGAGCAAGTGTACAGCCCTGATGGGATGGGGAATGTGTGGTTGTATCCTAAGAGCCACTAAATTAAAAACTGCAGGAGCACCTTGTATCAAGCAAGTCAATCCCCTGGCTACTTAACCTGATCCGATTGACATTTCTCTGCTCTGGATAACAGCAGATTGATGATAGAACCACAGAATGGACTCCAAAATAGACAGAGGTGTTTTGACACCCACAAACCAGAGGAGCTAGCGAGGGGGGCAGAATATTGGACACAAGACACATCCATAGAGTACTTTTGTGCTCTTTTTTACAGGCCCCAATAAGGGAAAAAACACTAGCATTTTACTCATTAATCTGACCTTTTTAAAAATCACCAATGGTTACATCAGGAACCAGTCCTTGTTTGCACTGACATCATAAGAGAAACCAATGCTATAATTATCGGGAGAAAGGAAGGAAGATAAGTGGTAGATTTCCATATCTTTGTGTTCATTAGCCTTAGTAAAGTTACACACCAGGGACAGGTATGAATGCCACCCTGAAAAATCCATAATAACCTGATATAGTTCTGATTGTCGGTCTTCACAGCACCACAGAAAGATATTGCAAAGCGATAAGACATCTGATTTATCCGCCAGTCTAGTTCAAGATTGCTGCCTACAGAACTTTTACTAAAATGCTAAGTCCAATCCAATTTTAAGTAGTTATCATATATGTAGCTACAGCATTAGAGATCCATTACAAGACATTTGTTATATGGTAGGAACATGCTTCCGATATAAAAGATGTAAAGTATTTGGCAACATACTCCTTTAATTGATCAGGGTGTCCTATTTAGCACTTTACTCTGTTGGCTGTGTATCTATAAGAAGTTCTATTTTAACTGCTAACCCTCAATTTACACAACATGATGGGATAGAATTAGTGTGTAGTAAAAGATATTGACAGTGCTCAGCATTTCCAGTTAATACTAGCTATTGGGAAACACTGAAATCCTTGGAGGAAGGTGCTATATAAATGCAGAGAATTTGTCACTCTAAATGCCCATAACAGGAGCTGTGGGTATTCATGGAGCATCATGCACTTTGATAGTGACAATGTTGTCAAAGAAGAAGAAACCATATGTTTTACATAAAGATCATGAATTCAGATTCTTCCAGAAAGTATTACACATTCTGTAAATTGTGATTTATTCTTTACAATGAAATCAGATTAATCTGACTAAATATACTGTGGGGAAATCTTGGCATCTCTACTCATGCTCTTGCTTGGGAGCAGGAGGGTTGATTGGGTGGGATTAGTTCAGATTGTGACTGAGGATGAAGAGGAGTTAAATTAGTAATGCAGGGTAAGAATCGGTCTCTGCAACCCAGTAACATCTCATTGTGGCCAATACCATATGCTTCAAGGAAATGTGCAAGAAATTCTATAGAAGGCAATTCTGGAATGAGGTTTTATATCCTTATTCGATTGGATGTTCTCCCCTATGCCAAGTAGTCTGATCTTGAACCACAAGGAGCTCTTTGCTTCAAGATACCATGCAGCAATGAATTCATAAGTTACATATGTAAAGATGTATTTCCTTTTATCAGCTTAAATATGTTCCCTTCTGGTTTTGTTGAATGCCCACTTGATTTACAAGAGGAAAAAAAAAACCAAAAAACCCACAAGAACGTGCAATTTACTTTTTGTGCCCCATTTCATTATAGCCTCCTATTAGGTCCCCTCTTTAAAGAGATCCTATATCCTTTCCAGTTTTTCCTCACATGAGATTCTATGTCCTTATCACCCATCTTTGGAGCCTTTTATTTCTGCAGTACACATATTAGTAAGTATAACTCACATGGGGAAAGTTACAGGATCAATTCCTTAATCTGGGAACTGTGGCTACAAACTGTATTTGTGTCCACACTGGGTGATGGGTGAATTTTTTATAATTAGACAAGTAAATGTCATCTGACCATTACACCACATTTGCTATTTCATCAAGATCAGATTATGAAGGTGTGGAACAGTGCTGCTGTGGATACTGTAAACATCGGAGGCAATGCAAATAAGTCCTGTGACTTTGCCAGCAGTGACAGGTGTAACACATACAAGATATGGAAGTTTTGTACTAAAAAAAGATTCAATTAAATAGAAAAGTGAATGTTCATAATCTCAGTAATTCAGTATTATTTATAATGTGGAGGTTCCTAGAGGCCCCATTGTGCTGGGCTCTGTACAAATACACAGGAAGGCACACCCAGCCCTGAGAAGCTTGTAACATCACTTTTTTTATTCCTATTACCAAAGCATGTATGAGCCCTAGTCACAGACCAAGACCCTGTTGTATTAGGTGCAGACATGCCAAACCCGTGGGGGAAAAAAATGCAGATATTGGGCTTGTTTTTGGCTTAATGAGCTTGTGAGTTGCTGGTTGGCTAATTTTTGGCTTGTAGCTTGTTGGGCTTGTAGCCTTTTTTTTTTGATCGGCTCCCAGCAAGCAGGAGCAAGGGGGTGCACAGTGGGCCCACCAGCCCCAGACTCCATACTGGGGGAATCTAGTCAGAGTGCTGGGGTTCTGAGGGATTGGCTTGTTTTGAAATGGTATTAACTTGATTTTTGGCTTATTGTGAAAATCAGGGTGCTCATTTACCACATGAAAGTTGGCAACTGTGATTAGGTGCTGTATAAACATACATAATTAAACAACTGCCACGTTCTTATTTCAGATGAAGTTAGTAGATTTATTTTAGTATGCCATGGGATCATTTCTCAATACCCAGGCAGCTAGCAGCATTAAGGCACAAGGCCGTCACATAACATCTCATCCTGAAGGATGCCGTCCTTTGGTCAGATTGCCCACTGTAGGCATTAAACCACATACAGTGCATTTCTACCTAACAAAAACACCCACAGGAAAGAGGTCTGTCTACTCATGTATTAAAAGGAAAGCATCTCCTGAATAGTTACACAATTCAGATGTTTGTCCATTATTTCAAAGCCATTTAGTGGCTTAGAGTATTTTTGCATACATATTTAAAAGATAATAGAATAGTTGACTGATTGTGCAATATACACAATACCTTGTACTAGAATGTAGGCACCAGCCACATCTGAAAGCAACATTTTCTGATCATGCCTGATCGTATTGAAAGATACAGTAATAAGTACAGAAAAGACCTTGCGGTCAATACAAGTACCTTACTATCTGCATAAGTTTAGTTCAGGAACAAGACTGTAGTTAATTTCAGGAACACTGTATGTAAGAAACCCCGAGGTAAATTCTGGCATAATAGTTAGTGGCACAGAAAGATTGTCCTTAGATTAATACTGCCAAACATTTGTTGACTATTTTTCACATGCCCTTTAGTCTCCTATGCCATTATTGCACTGCCAGAAAATAGAATTGAAAAGAATCGCTGAGATTGCTAGGCTTGCTGTACTTACATACAGCAGGGGGGTGGGGTGGGGGGAAAGCTCTTAAAAGGCCTCCTACTTCATGAGAGCAGCACGTGCAAAGTATTCATTACTTTGTTGCTCTGACATATGCAAAACATCATGGCACATGCTAATGAGGCTCAACTTTAATATAAAGGGTAAATTTCATCCCTTAGAATAGTCAATCATAATTGATAATTGCAGTTTAACCATAACTAAAAGAAGACATGCAGATGAATGAGATCCATTGACTAAGAAGAGCTATGTCAAAGTGGGTGTTTTATACAAGGTCAACATTTATTTATGAATCAGGCTAAGGTATTCCAAAAGGCATAGGAAGAAAGAACAAATGTTTCCACCTGAAAAAAGTAATACACACATTCAGAGCCTGTGATACTACCGTAACTTTTCATGGATGCCTAAGTTCTTTGGCCTATGTGGCCTAAAAATAGCTATCAGCCCTTGGCAGGTCCTAAACAGAAACATTGGTTCTTCAAGTAGCCTTATACGAGACTTTCTTAAATTGCCTGTGCAGCACTACAGGTAGGAAAACTCATGTTTTAATAGACATTTCAGCCCTTTGTTGCAGCACAGCAAGTTAGTAAAGCATCCTTAATGGTAGGTGGTATTATTAGTACAGACTTTGCAAGAGTAGCTCAAGGGGAAGCTGGGCAGAGCCTACCTCAATTTGCTTTTTGCTTAAATAGGGCTTATATAGCGTGAAAGGTTGTGAATGGTTCCAGAGGTAACAGATTTTTAACACCAAGGATGTTCCCCTGCAGCATTTTTGGCTCAAACATTACAGCATTGGACTAGAGTCTGAGACCCTGACTAGGAAAAGTGACTAAACAAACACTGACTACTTGCATTGCAGAATGGAAGCAAGTGAAGGCTGCACTGTGTTGGGATGGTGCCACATTGGTGTGGCCATACTGAATGAATGGTGTGAGAACATATCTTGACATAACTGAACTGCAAAAGAGAATTCTGGGAACAGAATCCTTCTCTTAGCATCAGGCGGATGCCAGAGGTGAAACTGACTGGCTCCATGCTGGGTGTATGATTAATACTGATCTTTGAGTCAGTAAATATGTCCACTTGAAAGCAAACAACACGTGTAGAACATCTTGAGTGGAGCCTGGGCTGACCGGGGCATCTCGACCCCGTTGAAGTACATCACACAGGGGGCTGAAGTGAATGATTGATAAGGGAGTGAATGTGGGGTAATGTTCAGTTGGCATGACTCTGCAGTCTCCTCCTAAAGTATTAATTGGGTAAAAATTAGTAGCTACACGCCCACTGGGCATGTTTTTAAGACATGTGACTTCTTTGAGGAAATACAGTATAAAAATCAAGCAAATTAAATTACTG